CAGCCACACACATGCCCCGATGCTGAGCTGGGTATTGGGTTCCATGAACCCCCTCCCCCCACAGGTCCTTGCTGGGGAAAGTGACCAAGGGACTGAGAAAGGTGAGAGGGCAGTGTGGCCCCGTGGTAGACTTCCTTCCATGTGAGAATTCTCCCACTGCTTGGTCAGTTTGTCCTTCTGTGTTGCTGCGATGCCGGAAGCTATGTTGCTGGTGTTTCAAATCCTAGCAGGGTCGCCCAGCGTGAACAGCTTCCAGCAGGTCTCCCAGCCGAAGAACAGACTGTGAAGAAGGAAGCAGGTGTCCACGTCGAGGAACTGGTCGCTGAGGACCCGATGGAGGGCAGCGAAACACTGCCAGACACGACAACCCCCGTGAGGACCGCAGTACTGCGTTGCCAGATATCACGGCGGCGGATGAGCCCCACCTCAGGAGGTCTTCCGAACAGGACCGAGGGCCAGCCACCTTCGAGAGGAGAGCAGGACACGAGGAAGCGGTGGAGCAGAGCCTTCCAGAGCAAGGTCTTCGTTTGCTGATGGGGCAGGACTCACCATGAGAAGAGAGAGCTGTCAACACCTATGCATGGTTCGACTTGGGATGTACAAAGTATGGATCTAGGAAAATTAGAAGTCATCAAAAATGCCATGGAATACATGAATATTGATCTCCTTGGTGTGGTGTCCTAGTTACATCATCTGGCATCAGCTGGCGAAGGGGTGGGGTTTAGCCCTTCAATCGGGTCGCAGCTCGATGACCTCACTTGGAGGCGCGATGGAGAGAAATAGCTCGCTGGAGGCAGCACGCACTATTTGACATTCCTGTTGTCATGATTCCACCTGGAGCTATGGCCCGAGGAGCCACGAGGAGACCCACGCCAGCACTGAGATGCTTCGACCACCACTGGATCTACAAGAGTTTCCACCCGCTGGCCTGTGAGCTGTCTGTCGTGCAGGGCTGTGGGAATCTGAAGAGGAGTTTACAGACTGGTATCGGCCGTAGGGGCTAATATTGGACTTAGGGACTTGATCTGGACTGGGCTGGGCTTTCTCGATGTACAATTACTCTTTGATATAAAGTTCTTTCTTATACACACGGGCGTCCTGGATGCTTCTCTAGTCCACCCAGCGAACGCACTTGTATTAGTGAGCAGAGATGGACTGGTGTTGGTCATTTTGAAGCAGAAGATCCTACGGTCTACTCTGCCCAGACGACAGATTCAAGAGGAAGGGCACCGCGTTCATCATCCAAAAGGGCATCCCAAGGTCTCTCTGGAAGTGCAATGCTGCTTGTGATGGGATGATATCTAACGCATACGAGAAAATCGAATAGCGCTCTCTGCTCGGACCTGGTTCTTAAAGTCCCGGCTGAAAGCCCGGTCCCACTTCAGTCCGTGGGGCCCATGCTACCGTGAGGCTTCTTCAGACTCATGCACCGCAGGTTGATGATGCAGAAAGGTGAAGCCGGATGCCCAGAGACCACAGGTCAGCGGGTGCAGAGTCACCTGGATCCAAGGATGGAAGCTACGGGGGCTACAGATGATTTTGCAGCCAATGTCCTCTAGCCTAGCCCCCAGCTCCTGAGATCAGGTGGCCTCCAGGTTTCATGTAGAGCCTTTCCCCATAACCCTTTGCCTCGATCGGGAGTAAAACCGTGTCATCCACACCAGCTGTAGGCCCCTCTCCAGCAGGAAGCAGATTCGGAAGGATGCTTTTTGCCTCTCGATTTCCACATAATGTGATGGTGTCACTTCAAGGGAGGATGCCAGCTAGACAGGGTTGGGACAAGGGGAGCGAGGGGACAATGGCGGGCATTTCCAGCATCGAGAGAGGTCATGGCATGTTTCCTTTATCAACAGCTCCCAAGCACAGAGGAAGGAAGGAGGGAGGGAAGACCCATTTTTCTCAATCGTTTCCCAGTAGTGAAGGAGACAGTGAAAGTGTGGGGATGGAGACAGGCGGGGTATTTGCACCACCCTCGCAGTGACTGGCGACCCGACACAAGGGCACCCGGGAAACTCTGGGTGGCTTCCGCGTCACATTGTAAGAAGCCAGCCAGCCACAGGCGATCCTCCATCAGCAGTATAGCCGTTTTGATCTTCCTTTTTTAATTAATCATTTTGTACAATCCATCGTTCACTTGTATTAAGCACACTCGTACATACGTCACCATCCACATTTCCAAAACATCTGTTTCTTGCTTGAATTGTTTATCAGACTCACTGTGGTACCCTTCTGCAGGGTACAAAGTTACTTCTGTTCAAATCCTTTTTCTCTCTCTCATCTGAATTCTTCCTTAGGGTGAGGATGACAAGAATGGAAGGAACAGGGCCCCGAATCCTTGAGCCCCCGCTGAGAACAAACACATGACTCAAGGATTGGGGAAGTGGATGTTGGGCAGGGGCAGGGACTGGCCGGGCGTTGCTGGTCCCTTATCCCTCCCTTCCTTCCTTTAGTGACCTGTGAAAGGAACCAGGACGGTGAGGGGGGCTGTGGTAGTCACATAATGTCATGTCAACTTGAACATACGTACAAGTGTAGGGGTGGCTGCCATGTGGGTGTGGTCTTATAAGGAAGACCCTGGGAAAGGGCACCCCCTTCTCTCTCTGCTGTCACCTTCCTGCTGGCTGACCCTGATCGCTGCCAGAGCCACTGCCACTGGGTGACACAACTTTGCACCCACCGGCCTGGAATCTTTCTGCATCACGGCATTTGACTGTGTGGGTCTGAAGAGGCACTTATGAACTTGAGTTGGACCGGGTTGAGATGTTCTCTTGATAAATAATTACATCTTGATATAAGGCTCTTATATTTTAAAAAGAAAATCTAGTAAAAAAATAATGAAAATCTAGTCATTAGAATGATCATTCAAATGTATGCACCAACCACTAACGCTAGAGCTGCAGAGATGGAAAGGTGTTGCCAACATCATCAGTCTGCAATTGATCGAACATGCAATCAAGCTGCATTGCTAATACTGCCGACTGGAATGCAAAAGTTGGAAACAGAGGAGGAGGAAGGATATTGGAAAATATGGACTTGGAGATAGAAACGAAGCTGGAGATCACATGATAGAACTTTGCAAGACCGATCTTGTCTTCTTAACTACTTTTTTCAGTGACAGGAAAAGTGAGGATACGCATGGGCTTCTCCAGGGGGAATGCCAAGAAATCTAAAGGGGCTGTGTCTGTGGGAGCGGCTCGATGTCAGCAGCTAACCCAGGGGGAGGCCGACTGTGGAGCAGCCCGTCGATGGCTCTTTTGCAAGTGCGGGCTGAAGCTGCGGACAAAGCAAGCCGCTGAGAGAGTGCCACCGAAATCTGCGGACGTCTCAAACGACCTTGGTGCACTGACCACCGAGAGCAGGAGACGAGGAGCTGTGGGATGACGTGAGTGACGACATCACACAAGAAGAAACAGAAGACCGTGAAAAGGACAGGCAAGAAAGATCAGTGGGTGTGAGGAGACTCAGACGTGCTCTCCATCAGCGAGTTGCCGGGGCAAACAGAAGAAACGATCGAGTGAAATAGCTTAGCAGAAAGTTCAAAGGGCAGCTTGAGAAGACCAAGTCAAATATTATAATGAAATGTGCCAAGACCTAGAATGAGAACCAAGCCCCGCCCCCCCAGGAAGAACATGTTCAGCATATCGTAAAACGAATGGACGGAAGAAACAATCAAGCCTCGAGAGGTAATATTAAAAGATTTTATGGGCAAAGAACACACAAGGTGTCTGTACCAAAAAGAAATGGTCAACCTTCAGCCATTTCAAGAGGTGGCATATGATCAAGAACCAGCGGCGTCGACTGAAGATGTCCAAGCTGCACTGAAGGCACTCGCGGGACAAATGTCTCAACCAGCCGATGTAGCCCTGGAAGCACCCGCTCGTCTGCGCCGAGAAAACGGGAGGACGGTTACTTGGGCAGGTGACTAGAAGAGCAACCTTTCCAAAGCAAGGTGACCCAACAGAATGCTCAACTTGTAGGGCGATATCATTGCTACCACCTGCATGCGAAATCTCGCTGAAGATCTTCCCAAGCGGCGGCAGCAGGGCGCTGACAGGGAGCCGCCGGACGTGCGGACCGGATTCGGAAGAGGAGCTGGAACAAAGGATAGCATTACTGCGTCAGACGGATCTCAGCTGAAAGCTGTTGGTGGTAGGTGCCATCTGGTCGATCCCAACCCACAGCCACCATGTGCACAACCCAGGCAGGCCCTCACGCTCGCTGCTCTGCGGGAGCCCGTCCATGCAGCCACTGGGCCGATGCATTTCATCCAGAGCTTTGCCCTCCCTGACTGCCCTCTACTCTGCCAGGGGCTGGGCGCTGCTGGCAACGGGTCCACAGCAGGCAAGACCGAGTCTCACCACCCTTGGCTCTGATGGAGCACTCTGGCCGTACTTCTCCCCAGACAGATGTTTGTTCTTTTAGAAGTTCATGGTACTTTCTGTTTCTCGCCAGTACCATAATTCAAGCACACCAAGTCCTCTGTCTTCTTTATTGAAAGTCAACCTTCGCACGCACAGGAGGCAATTGAAAATACATGGCTTGGTTCAGGTGTACCTTAGTCCTCAAAGTAGCATCTTTGCTTTGGAATGCTCTAGATTGGTCTTGTGCAGCAGAATGACCCAATGCAATGCATTGTTTGATCTCCCGACTGCTGCTCCCGTAAGCGTTGATTGTGGGTCCAAGCAAGACAAAAGCCGTCACTACTTCCACCTTTTCTCCACTCCGTGCTACCTCTTGGTCTAGTTGTGAGGTTTGGGGTCTTCTTTATATTGAGTTGCTGCAATCCTGACTCTTCGTCAGCAAGTGTTTCAAGCCTTGCTCACTTTCAGAAAGCAAGGTGGTGTCATATTACAACTGCAGGTTGTAATAAGCCTTCCTCTGATCCTGATGCGGCGATCTTCTTGCTAGAATCCTGTGTCCCTGACTTCCGCCCAGCACACAGATTGAATATATATGGGGACAGGATGCAACCCTGACACACACCTTTCCTGATTTTAAACCATGCAGTGTGCCTTGGTTCCATTCCCACAACTACCTCTTGATCCACCTACAAGTTCCGAATGAGCACAACGAAGTGTTCTGGAATTCCCATGCTTCTCAAAGCTATCTCAGAGTTTGTTATGATCCACACAGTTGAATTCTTTGGCATAGCCCATGGAGCACAAGTAAACATCTTTTTGGTATTCTCTGCTTTCATTGAAGATCTGTTAGGTAGCAAGATTTAGGGATAGGCAGGTTGTCCCTCCCAAGCCTGCAAAGGCCCTGTGGTGGTTACGTAATCTGTTGTCAACTTGAGACTTAAGAGTGAACGGGGTGGAGTTTAGCCTGTGAATCAGGATGCAGCTTGATGACCCAATTTGGAGGTGCTAAGGAGATAAGTAGCTCTCTGGAGGCGGGACACACACACACTCTCTGTGAGACATTCCTGTTGACCAGACACATGGAGCTACCCTGATGGAGCCAGAGGCTTGGAGCTGGGGCAGCCACGTGGAGACCCGTACCAGTGCTAAAATGAGTTGCTTCCACCACCACTGGATCCACAAGACTTTCCACCCGCTGGCCTGTGATCTTCCTACACTCAGCATCATTGCATGTGTTGTGTGAGTCTGAAGAGGAATTTATAGACTGGTACCAGACATATGGCTAATATTCGACTTATGGACTTGATCTGGACTGGGATGTTTTAATATAAAATTACTCTCTGATATAAAGTTCTCTATTACATTCATGAGTGCCCATGAATTTGAATAACACAGCCCCCATAGAGGAGGCTGGAAAGAAATCAGGCAACAAATAGACACCTGGGAAGACCCAGAACTGACCATCATCATACTCAAGCCTCTAGCCAGGTGGGCGGTATACCTGGGTGATCCAAACTAGGCCCAGGCTCATGATAACACCCAGGTGGGCTTAATACAGCCAATGGGGTCAACCAATACCTTCAAACACACCTTCCCCCAGCCAGGGAGTGAGCTAGAATAAAGGCAGGGAGCATGCTCTGGGATGCTCTCTCAGCCCCGAACTCTTGCCCCGGTTCTCTTGACCACTTGGTCCCTGGGATCCCCACCCCCAGTTCCACACACATGGGTGCTCTTTTCCACAAGCTTGCTTGTGCCCAGTTGTGAACCCCTTTGAGACTGTAACCTGAAACTTGTCCCATCCTTCATAAAAAACCCCTTTTATTGCAATATGGACTTTGGTGTGAATTCTTTCAGTGTGCGAACCCTAGAACCAAGGTCTTGCCCACTCGAGAAGCCTCACCACTCCATCTGCTCTCAGGAAGGATAGCACTTGTTTCTTGACCTCTGTTGCCTCCAGCCTGACCTGCCGGCAGCTCCCTGCCAGTGTGCTGCTCCTTCGGTTGGAAGATCTTCAGCACAATTTTACTCACATGTGCGATGAATGACTGTTCTATAATGCGAGCCTTCGGTTGGGGCTCCTTCCTTTGGAATGGGTACAGATGTTGTTCTCTGCTAGTCAGGTGGCAAAGTAGCTGTCTGTCAAATTTCCTGAAAGCAGAGAATACCAGAAAGATGTTTACTTGTGTTTATTGACTATGCAAAGGTCGATAACAAAGTGTGGGTCACTTTGAACGGGCATTCCAGAACATTTCGCTGTGCTCACGCGGTCCCTGCACATGGATCAAGAAGCAGTGGTGGGAACAGAACAAGGAAACACTGCTTGGTTTAAAACAAAGGGTGTCAAGGGGCAAGGTTGCAGCCTCTCACCATCCTTCCTCATTTGGTCTGCTGAGCACCGAATCCGAGAAGCTGGACTGCGTGAAGAAGAGTGTGGCTCCAGGGTTGGAGGAAGCTCACGAACCCCCGCGATCTGCAGATGGCACCGCCTCACCTGTGAGGAGGACCCGAAGCACCTGCTGACGAAGCTCAAGGCTCGCAGCCTTCAGTGTGGATGACGACTCAAGGTAAAGAAGACCAGCATCCTCCCAAGTGGACCGTGGGGATGTCATGGTAAATGGAGGCAAGATGGACGTTGTCGGGGATGTCATCCTGCTTCGATCCGTCAGCAATGCTCCTGGAAGCAGCAGCCAAGAGATGAAAAGATGCCTGGCATTGGGTCAATCTGCTGCACGAGCCCTCTTTAGAGTGCTGAAAAGCAAGGGTGCTTCTTTGAGGACTACGGTGCGCCTGACCCAAGGCACTCTCTGCCCCCTGACGGTTTTCTCTTGAGCCTGTGCGTGCTGCTCCGAGGCTGCCCCTGGGCCCGGGCCTCTGCTCACGGTGAGAGACCATCAGACCCACACAGGCACCAAACCCACTCGGCAGCCTCAGAGTGGATTCTGACTCCGCGCCCCTCAGCGGGGTCTTTATGGGAGCAGGTAGATGGCCTCATCTGCTGGGTGTGAACCGGGAGGTTTCTCCAGTGGGTGAGACCTCCATCCTTGCCTTCACACGAGAAAGAATTCACGCCGAAGCCCGTTTGCAATCCAAGTGGGTTTGTTACGAAGGACGGGAAGAGTTTCAGGTTTTACAGTCTCAGAAGCGTGGGCTCTATTTCAGGGAAATGTGCCAAAGTGCATGTGAGCCACGCTGGGGTCCACAACTGGACACGAGCAGCCTAATGGGACAGTGCACCCACACGTGGTGAACTGAGGTGCGCTGAGACAGCAGCACAGCATGAGTGGGCACTGGGGGGCAGGGAGAGTACGAGAAAGAGAGAGAGACGCTGTGGGTCCCGAGGAGACCCGGAGTGGGCGCTGAGGGGGCTCCCCAGGCGGCGAGTGTGCCCCTCTTACCTCTACCTTCCTCTGACCAGGAGCAGGATGTAAGGGAGTGGCCTTCCGGCTGCCAGTGTATTTCAAACCTCTGACTGGAGAAGTCTGGTTGAGGGTGTTGGCCCCATTGGCTGAATTAAGCCCACCTGGGTGACATCACAAGCCTGGGCCTAGTTTGGGCTAGCCAGGTGTATCACCCACCTGGCTGGGGGCCTGACTTTGAGCATGCCCAGTTCGGGGGTCTTCATGGGTGGCTAATGCTTACCTGATTCCCTTCCAGCCTCCTCTAGGGGCCTGTATGATCAGGGGGGTGGGGTGGGGTGGGGGTGAGGGTGGGGACAGCCCTGTCCCTGTCTCTAGCTCCCTGACAGAACTACTCACCTTGCAGTTAGCAGGTCAGCGCTGGCTTTGCACAGCTGAACTTCAGAGCCTTTGATGCCACTGTGTGGATGACCTTGTGCTTGCTGGGCCCCGTGAAGAGCTCCTGGCTGTCATGGCCCCTGGGGGTCTAGGGGCGCTTGTCCACACCCCAGCAAGGGTGGGCAGCAGCCACTTGGCGACAGAGGGGCAGTGGTGGGGTGAGAGCAGGGGAGAGTGACCCTTCATTGGGCAGGTCTTCTCTGCACAGGCCTGGGCCCTCCACTGCGGCTTCTGGCCACACATCTGGAGGAAGCTGTTGCCTGGCTGCTGGGGATGGTGGCAGGCGGGAGGGAGGCAACCCTGAGAAGAGGCACCTGGAGCGCCCTCACTGCCGTTCCTTGCCACGCATGACACTGCCTTTCCCTAGCCTCCTGCTTAGCCGCTGGGACAGCGTGATTGTCCAGGCTCTCCTGTCACTTGTCCTAGGGCACACAGGAGACCCCAATCTCCAGTAGATTTTAAACTCGAGGTTTGTTATTAAACTTGAACATCTATCAATCCTAACAGACAAAGACGAGACAGAGACAGACACGACACTCGAGTGAGGGACACCATTAGCGCAAGATCATGATGGCATCCAAGGGTTCTCGGAGATTCAGAAATTTAAAAAGGACTCGGTAGGGCAAGGTCGTGGAGGGCAAAGCCACAAAAGTCACAAAAGCATGACTGGCGACAGATGGATACCTCCCGGCTCCAGGTGGGACACGTCCATGATGTTGCATAGGAGGGCTTGCCGGGGACGGGGCCAGGCCCTTCCAAGGACACACCCACTCAAGCCCTTAAGAGACATGCCCCTCCCTGGACGGGCAAAGGCTGATGATCCACTTTGTAACGCATTCTGCCTGAGGGCAGACCGTTTGCCTCGCTGGTTAAGTGTCAGAAGGAAGTCAGTGGAGGTTCAAGCCACAAGGGGACGCTGCACATGGACGCTGGGCTCTCACTGTTGACCACAGTCTTCTACAAGCTAGGTGGGGGGAATGCAAGCTTTGCTAGGAGGTGCTGGATGCTGTTGGCTGCTCACCCAGAGGGCAGTGGACAGGAGGATGCTGCCCTGTGTGAGGGGATCCTTTGTTAGCTTGGGGGCCACTGGGGGATGAGATGTACACA